ATTTAAAAAGGGCTCTGACTCAATTTATGCATGCTGAGCTAACATCAGCTGGAAAGATCCCAACAATGACTTCAGAAAAAAGCTGAAAGTAACCGCAGTGCCCACACTACTTAAATATGGAACACCTTAAAAACTGGTGGAATCTGAGTGTCTTCAGGCCAGTCTTGTGGAGATGATGTTCTCTGAAGAGTAAGATTTAATAATGACAATGGTATCTTAATCTTGCTCTAGAAACTGTGTACTTATTAAATAAACAATGATGGGGGAAACAAACAAAAAAAACCTTTCAGCTTTGGGAAGACCTCTTAGGCAGTTGCAATAGGAAAGTCTGCAGTTAGAGACCTCTCTAAAGTACTGAAGAGCAACGGTGTCAGTCTAGAGACTAAGGTACGCCTGATCCATGCCATGGCCTTTGCAATCACTTGCTATGCATCAGAGAGCTGGACAATGACTAGAGATGACAGGAGAATTGATGTCTTTGAGCTGTGGCATTGGAGAAGAGAATTGAATATATGCCATGGACTACTAAGAAATTGAACAGGTTTGTCCTGGAGAGGGTGAAGCCAGGCTGTTCCTTGGAGGCAAGGATACTGAGGCTTCATCTGACATACTTTGGACATGTTGCAAGGAGGGACCAGTCCTTAGAGAGGGGCATCATGCTTGGGAAGGTGGAGGGACAGCGCAGGAGAGGAAGACCCTTGATGAGATGGATTGATTCAGTGATTGGGGTGGTGGGAGTAGGTGTGTCGGAGACAGTGAGGTTGGCACAGGATAGAGCATGTTATACATAGGGTCACGATGAGTCACAGGGGACTCGATGGCACATAACAACAACAACAACATTAGGCAGTTCTACTCTGTCAAACAGGATACTGTGACAGAATTCAATCAACTACAATGGTTTCCTTGTATATTTTGTTACATGTAAAATGTTATCTGGCTAAATGAAACATTTAAAGTATACCAATTTTTCCATACTCTTGTTTTGTTACATGTTCAGTTTTATATTCTACTTGGGTAAAGAGTGAGGGCAGCATGGGAATGGCCAACTTTAACATCTGTTATCTTCACAAAGGGGAATAGTCTGTAACAGCAGCATCCACAGTACAAAACCAATTCTCCTAAGGTCAGACATGGTCTCCACAGTCACACACCTACTTCTACTAATTTCAACACCAATTGTACTGTTCCACTATGGGGTCCGAAACCTGTTGTGGTGGCCACACAGACCTCATAAAACCATATTCAAGTTTATGGGTTTATTGGGAAAGTAAACAGATTACAATTCCACATGTCAGCAGGATACAATTCCACAGTTAGGACAGTTTCCCAGGTATACTCACAGACTCTTTGATAGTCATCTTCTCAACTTAGGCCAATGTTATAAAGCTCTCTCAGTCCTATCATTCTAGCATCTTGACGTCTTTCCTCAATGCTCTAATAAGCTTGGGTGAAGGCCCTTGACTCTGACTCCATGGGGCAGCAGTACAAGGTTAGCTCTGTCTCATGTCCACTGTGGCTGTTGTTTCCTGAGTGGCTCAAAGATCTCTAGCCTTGAAGGACATGCACTGCATTCTCTGCCTTTCCTTCCTTGCTGGTAGTGAGATTCCCATCTTCTGTTGCTAAAATGGCTTCATTTAAACCTGGTGGGATGGCAAAACTAGCCAATCAGTCGTGAGACATTTACCCACCTGGTTTGCATAATCTCACCCAACCATGTGTTAGAAATAAAAACTATTGAGCAAGAAAAGTCATTTTGTCTTCACCACAGTTTGCCTCAAGAGGTGGCAGAGGCTCAAATCCTCTCAATCTCTGAAGAGTTCTAGGTTCTATTATTATCTCCATCTTATACATAAGAAATGAGCCTTTAAAAACATTCTTTTTTTTCTTACTTGAAGCTTTTCCTACTGGAGCATGTTGTTGTTAAGTGCCATTGAGTTGAGTGTGTGACGCCATTAAGCAATAGATGAACTCTGTCCTATTTGAGCCATCCACATCAGCCCCAGCACATTTAAGTCCATCGTTTCATCAATCCATCTCATTGAGGGTCTTCCTCTCCTTTTCGGGCTCTCTACCTTTCCAAGCATGATGTCCTTTTCCAAGAAATAGCCTACTAACAACATGTCCAAAATACATGAGGCAAAACTTCATGAACTTTGCCACCAATGAACTTCCTGTTTGTATTTTCTTGAGCATATATGTTTGTTCTTTTGGCAGTCCATGGGATATTTTGTACTCTTCTCCAACACCATAACTCAAAGGAAAAAAATTTTCTTTTGTAATCTTTATTCAATGTCCAGCTCTCAGAAGCACAGTAAGTAATTGAAAAAGACTATGGCCTGAATCAGGTGCACCTTAGTCTTCAAACTGACATCATTACTCTTCAGTATTTTGGAGAAGTCCTTGACAGCAAGCTTGCCTAAAGAAATGTGCCCCCTGATATCCTGATTGCTGCTACCAAGGGTGTTGATTGCATGCCTGAGTAAGAGGAAATTATTGACAGCTTCAATCTTTTCTCTATTTATCATGATGTTGCCTAGTGGCCCAGTGGTGAGGACCTTTGTTTCCTTGATGTTGAGATGTAACTAATATTTAAAACTGCGTTCTTTTATCCTTTTCAACAAGCACTTCAGGTCCTACTCACTTTTAGCAAGAAAAGCTGTGTCTATAATGTAGGTTATTGATAAGCCTTCCTCCAACCCTGATAGCACAGTCTTCTTCAAAAAGTCCAGCTGTTCAGATTATTTAATCAGCATATAGAATGAATAAGTAGGGAGAGAAGAAAAGCACTGCTGCATACCTTTCCCAATTTTAAGCCATGCAATGTTCCCTTGCTGTTTGGACAACAGCTTCTTGGTATAGGTATAGATTTCAGATAAGCACAATTAAGTGTTCTGGGATTCCCATTCTTCTCAAGGTTAATCATAGTTATGATCCACACAATTGAATGCCTTTGTATAGTCAATAAAGCACAAACAGACATTCTTTTGGTATTTTCTGCTTTCAGTGAGGATCCATCTGACATCAGCAATAATGTTCCTGGTTCCACAGACTCTTCCACACACAGACTAAACTTCTAACTGTGAATGTACTGACCATGCTAGCTAAGTCAAGGATATCCATCCCATCATCCTTAAGAGTGACAGAATGTCTACTTGCATTATTTATAAGAGGTAGCAAAAGGCATGATGATTTCTTGGGAAATATCTGCTTTGCTTGGATTAATCTAGTGAATAGGGATTGTTGGCAGTACCCTGGCCCTACTTCTTCCTAGATCCCACAGACCTGGAAAAAGGAATTGGCCTTTTGACTTGAAGTTTACTTGGTGAATCCATTGCCTGTCCTTATATGGTCTTTGCATTTGACTTCATTTGTCTTAGCTTTTCCTCTCTCTCAGACCAGACAAAGGCCAATTGTAAGCTTCATCCCCTTGGGTCCTAGAGGGCAGGCCCTAGAATTCAGTGTTCTTGTTAACGAACTAGGGAGTTCTAGTGGAGTAGTCAGTCTGTAGGGAGTTACACAACCAACCCAAAGGCCACGCCTCTCATGGTTAGAACTGGCCAGGCAGCTATGAAGGAGAAAGATGAACAAATTCCTCCTTTGTGATGTATAGGCTCAAAAACCCAATGGATGGTCAGCTACAGTGGGTTCTGCCTCCACAGATGTGAGAATAAATTAAAGAATGTGAAATTGAGCATTCTCCAGGCTTCTTGTTGGAGAACTTTTGACTGCTTCTGTTCTGCACAAGCTAGTCCATAAACCCACTCTCCACATGAGGCCTTCCCAGATGGCCTGCTGAGGTGAGGCAGAGGCCAGACAGCTGGCTGGTCAAAGTGATCTCCAAGCTCAAGTATCCTGAGAGGTTTCTGCAAACTCACATGGGGTGCCCAGCCTTTCTGTGAGGTGGGTGGGCCAGTGGTAAGGCAGAGAGAAGAGGGGCTCAGCTTCCAGGATCTGTTTTGTGTGAAAGGGGCTGTTTTTATCCCTGGGCATGAACTTGCAGCCTATCCCCACACAGCATAGGTGGGTGGGCACCAGGAAGGAACTGCCTGGCCCCAGCTTGGATATAGGCAGGGCTGGAGCAGGCAGGATGTGCAGAGAGGGAAGGAGGGTCAGGGCGTGGGCAACACCCACCCAGCCCCATAGGGTCCTCCTAGGGTACCCATTCCTGGCCCAGGGCCACAGGGGGAGCAAGAGGATGAGCTGGAGAACCTCTTGCAGAGGGAGGACACGAAACTCCATAAAAGGGGGAGGGGTGTGGGTATGGGGGGGGGTGTGTGTGCTGGCTCTGAGAGGCTGGAGCCAAGAGGAGAGTTCCTCCATTCCTCCAAAGGGTTGGAAGCAACTCCTCCCCACTCTACTTTTGAGGCTTGGGAGAAGGAAGAAGATACACCAGAAGGACTGATGACACAAGAGCCAGCGCTGCCAATGTCAGAGAGCCCTGGTGGCTTAGTGGTAAGGACTTGGACTGTCAACGCAAAGGCACACAGATTGTTCCAAGGAAGAACGATGGGCAAGCTCCTTCCTTGTTTTGCACATAACAAAACTGTCAATGACCAGCTCCAAAACCTTGAACAAGTTGCTGGAGCTGACTCCCTGTCTCCTGGCCTGCAAAAAGCCAGGGCAGGGTGTCGTCTGTAGAGAGCTGGTTCACAGTGACCACTTCAGGCTGGATAGAGCTGCTTTCCTGGCTCCAGTCTTTAACCGGAAGATCTCCGGAACGTTCTTCCTGGTGCTGTTGGATGAACTCACACTAACACTGCTTGAGGTTTTCTGTCAGCACTGGTGGCTGTAAGCATGCCAGCCTGTCAAGAGTCCATCTGATGCCCGCTCTCATTTTCACTGACTTCTCCTCTGGCCTGAGTGAGTGGAAGGACCTGCTGGGCTGGAACTTTTATTTCCCTCCCAGGCAACGTCCGATGGGTGTGTTAGACAGGAGTAATATTTGAAGGGCTGCAGCCTCCCAGCTGCTGGAGCTAGAGGCCAGATCACGGTGTGAGATGGCCTCCCGGGAGCCTCCTGCCACAAGCCACGCCCCGCCCGACGTGCCCTCGGGGGTCGCGCTCTTTGTCACTATCCCCTTTGCCTTCTTCCTGCCAGAGCTGGTGAGTGCCTGGGTGCCAGGAGCAGGGCGCGCGGGGAGGAGGGCGCGTGGAGAAGAGGGAGTTCGGACAGGAGGAGGGCGCCTTCGCGGACGGGAGCACGCGGGGAGGGGGGAGCGCGGGGAGGAGGGCGAGCAGGCAGGAGGGCGCAAGAGGAGGGCGCCTTGGGGGAGCTCAGTCCTCAGGCTGCGTCTGTCTTCAGTAACCCACCCCGCAAGGCTCCGGGCTGAGGGCGCTGCTTCTCAGACACCCACTTTTCCAAAACAGCCCCTCTGTGGCGAATGGCTGCTCAGGGATGCGGGCGCATTGCTAAAATAAAATCTGAGGAAGGCCATGGAAAGGGAGTTTTCGTACACCGTTTCTGTTCTTGAAATTTGTGTTTATTTGGCTTTTTCTGAGGTTTGAAAGGCAGGACGCAGACTCTCCTGTAAAGAGCGCTTGCACTGTCACCTTAGCTGACTTTGAGCATGGGTCCCTGAGCCTCCGGCACAGGCGGCTTAGGGCATGTTAGAGCCCCAGGTCCTAAGATCCTGCCTGTAGCCGTCTGCGGGGTCTCTTAGGCCTGCGGTGTCTCTCCTGTCCCCCCAGAGACCACTGTCTCACCCACAGCCAGAGGTCCGCCTTCCTGAGGTGGAAGACTGAGGTCTGGTGAATGATTCCAAGCAGAGGGATTTGTTTTGGTCTGATATCCTAGCTATGGGTGATGTTTTCCTGCGCTCTGACTCAGTGCTGCCCCTGGGCAGGGAGGAAATGACAGAAAGTGGGTCCACCTCTGAATGGGCGCTTCTCACTCCCGTCATCTGCCCACAAGGCCAGGCCTGACTTGAGTAAGCTGTTGGCACTGGTTAAAGGGAGCCCGATGATACTAGCGAGAAGGGGAAGTCTGGCAGGGTGGACCTAGTTTTGGGGTGACTCCAAAAAAACCCCACCCAGGAGACAAGTTTCTGCCAGGTCTGCCACTTCAGGGACACAAACGTGGGCACCCAGCCAGGCTGATGACATCTTAGTGCCCTTTCCATGGTTGTGTGCCAGGGCGAGCACAGGCCTCACCCTGGAGGGCCCACAGAGAGAGCCAGGTGGTCCCCATCTGTGTGGGAGAAGAGACTCCACAGAGGCCTGTGGGGGCAAAAAGTTTTCCTCCTACTCAGAGCTAGTGCTTACAAGAGCAGCCAGTGAGGCTGAAGGCCAGGCTTTAGCAGGTCCCGGGGAAAAGCCATGCTCATGGAGGGTACCTGCTTGCTGACGCTGAGCCCAGAGCTCATCATCAAAAGGGGTGCATGGATGTGTTGGACTCTTTCGGTTTTAAGGCCTTGGAGGGACTTACTAGTGGGGAATAATATTGTTATTGGTTCAATTGTACATAGGGTCACTATGAGTCGCAAACGACTCCACGGCACATAACAACAACAACAATAACATTTTTAAAAAACCAAAATCACTGCTGCCTAGTGGATTCCAGTAGCTATACCCCTCTCCTCCCCAGAGAAGGGGAAACCTGTGCACTGGGTTTCTAAGGATTCCCGGAAGGATATGTGTATAGGAACCAGCTGCCACATTGTCCTCCAGCAGAACAACCAGTGGGTTCAGACTGCTGACCTTTTGTTTAAACAGCAGAGTGTTTCATCACTCTGCCACCAGAACTCCTTCCTTGCCACTAAACTTCTCACATATGTTTACATCTCACATATCCAGTTATTCCAATCAGGAATTTAACATTGATGCATTGTTGTGATGGTTTATTTTCAAAATGGAACCAACTGACCCTCTGGCAGGTTTTCAGAGGCAGTGAATCACAAGAGAGATTGCCCATCTTTCTCCCACAGAGCAGCTGATGGATTTGAATCATGTGCCTTCAGGATTGCAGCACAGCTTCTTACCACAGGCCACCAGAGCTCCAACATTAACAACTGTACCATTAATTGTGCTATAAACATTATCCAATTTAGTAGATGTTTCTCTCCCATTTCCTTCCATCTGGGACAAGCCCTGGGTTTTTCACTTTTTAGAGGAACTGGTCAGTATTTTGTAAACTATTCCTCAGTTGAGCTTCCCAGATGCATTCACAATACATTTTTTTCTCTCTCTCTGAAGTGGAATGTCTTCATGGACTCTGTTATGCCACTTGACCTAAATGTCCCCCAAAACTGGTCCAAAGTCCCCATGCTCTGTGATTCCTTATCTCTAGCAGATATGGCTAAGGCGTTTTCAGAACTTTACCCCTTGCATGTACAACAATACCTGTGGGTATATTTTCAGCACCCACAAATTCATATGTAGAAGTAGTCTGCCAAATCTGAATATATGTGTTGATGGGTGTAATGCTCATTTGCCCCCCACATCTCCTCAACACTCATGTCTGCCTCTGAATCTACTCATAGATGTTGTGATCCAGTTGCATAATCCTTAGGGACTCAAAAACTGTACCCAACAGTTAAAATCCATAAGTAACTCCTCAGGAGAAAGATGGGCTACCCGCTCCTGTGTGATTTACAACCTTGGAAACAATAGAGTCAGCTATGAGTCGCTTTGGACATGATAAAATACCCATATAAATGGGAAAATGTACCCTGTTCATGGATAGGAAGACTCAATATTGTGAAAGTTACAGTCATATCAAAAGCAAATCTACATGTTAAACGTAATCCCAATACAGATACCAAATTTAATTTTCAAGGAAATCGAAAGGAAAATGTCAGGTTTATTTGGATAGGGAGGAGACCTTGAATAAGCGAAGCACTTCTGAAAAACAAAAGTGAAGTGGGAATCATAGCACTGCCTGATCTCAAAATCTGCACAGCAGTAGTAACCAAAACAGCATTGTACTGGTACAATGACAAGCACATAGACAGAACTGAGAACCAGAAATGGACCCATCTATCTATGATCAACAAGAAAATAAAACCTATCAAATGGGGAAATGACAACCTCTTCAACAAATCGTTCTGGCAACACTGGACTGATACCTGCAGAAACCTGAAACAGGATCCACATTTCACACCTTACACAAAAATCAACTCATCGTGGATCAGAGACCTGGGAGTAAAACCCAAAACCATAAAATTCGTAAGAGACAAACTGGGACCAAGCTTAGAAGGTCTAGTATTCAGTATAAAGTAACTGCTAAATACAGCCAGAAATGCACAATCTGGAGAGGATAAAAATTGATGAATGGGACTTTCTAAAGATTAAATCTCTGTGCGCATCAAAAAAAATTTTACAACAGAGTGAAGAGAAAACATTTGATACAATCTCACAAAAAGGTCTTATAACAAAAGTTTAGAATACTACTGGGCCTCCAGAAGAAAAAGATTGATAATCCGATCACAAAATGGGCAAAATACATGGAAAGATTTTCACAGAGGAAGACATTTGGATAACCAAAAGTAATATGAAGAAATGCTCGAAATCACTGGCAATAAGAGAGATGCAAATTAAAACCACAATGAGATACCATCTTATTGCCACTAGCGGTGGCAAAGTTTAGCTGGACAGCAAGCAATAAATGTTAAAGAGGTGGGAAGTCTTATACACTGTTGGTGAGATTGTAAAATGGTACAACCACTCTGAAAGGCAGTTCGACATTTCCTAAAAAAAAAAAAATTGAACATAGAAACTCCATACAACCCAGCTATTCCACTACTAGGGATATACCCCAAGGAAATTTGAACCGAGACACAAATTGAGATTTGTACATCAATGTTCATAGCAGCATTAGTCACCATCACAAGAATATAGAAATAGTCCAAACGTCCAACCACAACTGAATGGATTGAGAAACTGTGGTACATTCACACAATGGAATACTATGCAGCACTCAGGAGCAACAATTTTGAAAAATACCACATAACTTGGGAGAAACTGAAGAACATTATGCTGAATTAATTAACTCAGTCTCATAAGGACAAATACTGCATGAGACCATTATTGTAAAAATAGAAGGATAACTAATAAAACATGTATGAGGACCCAAGAAGGGAAAGGTAGGAGTGAGGATGGGTAAGGGCGAAACTACAGGGTTGCACAATTTGGTGGAAGGAGGGTGATGAAGGAAATGGGAAGGATCTGGGTGAAAAGACAGGGTAATGATGGACCAGATACACTGATGATTAATTGTATAAAATGTAATGTATGGAATAACTCTATCTCCAATCTTGATGCCACATTTCTCTTCACAGAGCCCAGACTCCCAGATAATCTCTTCCACATATAGATTGAAAAGGTATGGAGATAGGATGCATCCCCGGCTAACACCCTTTCCAATTTTGAATCATGCAGTGTTTCATTGTTCTGTTCTGGTGACTGCCTCCTGGTCCAAGCATAGGTTTCACATAAGCACAATCAAATGTTCTGGAATTCTACTTCTTCTCAAGGTTTGCCACAGTTTTTTTGTGATCCACACAGTCAAATGTCATTGAATAGTCAATGAAACACAGATAAACATTTCTCTGGTACTCCCTGCTTTCAGCCAAGATCCATCTAACATTAGCTACAACATTCCTAGCACCATGGCCTCTTCTAAACCCAGCCTGCACTTCAGACAGTTCTCTGTTGATGTACTGCTCCAGATGTTTTTCATCAGTCTTGCTTGCATGTAATATCAATGATATTGTGTGAGCATTTCTGCACTCTGTTGATGTACTGCTCCAGATGTTTTTCATCAGTCTTGCTTGCATGTAATAACAATGATATTGTGTGAGCATTTCTGCACTCTGTTGGGTCACCTTTCTTTGGAATGGTAACAAATGTAGATCTCTTCAAGATCATTAATAATGATTATGGTTGTATGTCAATTTGAATAATTTACCCTATTGAATTGTTCCCTTAAAATGTGGTGAAAATGACAAATTTTATACTATATATCTTTTACTACATTTAAATAAACTAAAATAAAGGGTAAAAAAAAAAAAAGCCCAGGTGAACTGCAGCTTTCTCTAGCCTGATCCAGAAGAACTAGGTGGTGCCTGTGACCATGACCTTGAGTTCTTAGCGGGGCACAAGAGAAG